GGGGAGGGGGCAGCCAAGGAGGGACCCCCCCAACCCCCCTCAAAACCAGGGAGCCAGGGAGAGGGGGACACTCCGCTCCGGCCGCTGCTCCGTCGGGATGTGCTGCCCCCCCAACCGGCCCCCGCCGGATTCTCTCTTTTTTTATACGTTTTTTTCCTTTCATTCGCAACTACCTCTGGATATTTAAGTTCCGGACGCTGCACTGGCCGCCATGTGGGGTTGTTTTCCTGTTTTTTTTCTGGGGTTTTTAGGTTTTTGTTGTTCCTTTACCTCCCTCCGGCCACAGTGACACCTGGCACCGGGGCCAAGGGGGGGCGCAGGTTTTTTCTCCCCGTTTTGGGCTTTTTCTTAAGGTGGGGGCCTCGCAGGGCGCCACGGCTCCTCCTCTGGCCAAAGGGTTCAGGGGCGGCCGCAGGTGGGAGAAAATCTGTTGTTTTTTTTTCCCCACTTTTGGTTCACTGTTAATGACCTTTTGGTTTCCTACTTGCAGTTACTTGAATAAAAGGTTTTATGGATGTCGGCCACCTCTGCGCTCTGAGTTTCGGCACCTCTCTGGGGGGATAAAAACTTGTTTTTACCCACGCACGGGTGCTTAGCGCAGTACCTGCATAGAGCCACAGCGCCCGTCTGTCCATCCCTGCAGACGGTGAAGGAGCCCCCTGCACCCGCTCCAGGTTGCAGGGCACTTTATTACAAAAAAGAACACGAAGGAGCTGCTGTCACAGGGTGAAAGGAGGCAGCGCTGCCCAAATCCTGCATGCAGGAGGCTCCGGCCGGGAGAACCCCCATCCCGGTCGCGCGCGTCTCGTGCGCAGACCCCGCTGCAAGCGCCCGAGTGCCCTGAGGAACCTGCTGAGCAGGAAGGCGGCAGCGAGGCGGGCGGCTCCGGTGGCTCCGGCGCGTGGCGACGTTCCGGTATTCGCCACCCCCGCCAGTCGGAGCGCGGGGAGCGGCGGGGCTGGGAGCCCCCCCAGCCGGGCACCACCTGCAAGGAGCACAAAAATGAGCGGCAAAATCCCACCGGAGCCGGGGGTTCCCAGCAGCCTCCATCCTGTAATCCCAGCCCTGCACGGGAGGTAGCAGAGCCGCCGGCTTCAAACCGGGATTTCCAGCTCTGGTGCATCCCGTCTAGGCATGCAACTGCTCTGGTTACACCAGCCGGGCTGCTGGCAAAGAGCTGGAACATACTTGGAGCAGGAACGCCGCAATTCCCAGAGCTGCCGCGATTCCCGGACGCCCGGAACTCACCCGGGCGTCCTCGGCCTCCACCAGCA